CTTATAACCGTGGTTTTGAACTCTATATCCAGTAGTTTGCTTTCCTCCATTTCTTTCATTCATGACATGTTTCTTTGTCTCCACATTTTGGCTGCTTCCCTGTGTTGATAGAGTGGCCTTGTGTGGTAGGTGTCCTATAGGGCCCAGTGTCTCCGCCTCCCCAGTCACCTGAGGTGGACACTCTAGTTACACCCCTTTGTGGGCTGGGTACACAGTCCTGTTGTAGTTAAGCCTTGATTGCTGTTGGTGTCATTGGGAGGAATTGACCTCCAGGCCAATTGGCTGTGAGGACCAGTTGTGTCTACAATGGAAGCACTGCTGTGCTGGAGACACCCTTATGGGGCAGGACTTGCTTCAGTGGGGCTTTGGTCCTCACTGAGTCTGCCCCTTGAGTGTGTCACTTATGGATGTGAAGAGTTGTAATCTGGTATGGTCTCACACTGACCACTGGGTACACTGGCTCTTGGATCTCTAAGGAGGTGCAAAGTCAGCCACTGTCTGAGGCCACCCAGCAGGAGCTACAGAGAGATCTGCAGATTCCTCCTCTTTGTTTGGGGTTTGGAAGTGCCCAGGTGAGGCCCAGCTGCGAAGCAAGGCCGGCTGCTGCTGCTGAGCCTTGGACCTTCTTTTGGAAGCTTTGGAGCTCTCTGACCCAGCTGCAGTTTGTTAGGTTTTATGCTGCGAAAGGACTGGCTATTCATATGCAAAAGCCGCTGTGCACAGCTTGGGTGGGGTTGTAAATTGGATGGGGCGGGGTCTTGGGGAATCACCAGGGCAGAGCAAACAGCAATGGCTGCCAGTCAGCCCTGCATCAGAGAGGTCCCCGTGTCTCCGTGTTCTGCGCCTCTGTGCAGGAACAATGATTGCTGTGAGTACCTCTGAGAGAAAGCCACCCTCATGTTCCGGCCTGATGCCAGACAGTCCAGTTTCTCCCCATATGCATCTGGGTCCCCAGAGTCTTGCCCGGAACTGGAGTTCAGAGCAATCAGAAGCTTGTATTTCCCTCCTGATTGAAAAAAAAACAATAGTGCACCCAGTTGCCAGCCCGTTTCGCGAGCGTCTCCACAACTCCACACCTCTTACCAGTCTCAATGCGCTTTTTTCTTTCCTTCTAGTTGTAGAACTTCCACTCAGCCAGCTTTCCCTTGGTTTTGGATGATTGATGTTTTGTCTTTTAGTTGTAGTTTTGATGTGGTTGTGAGAGGCAGCAAGTGCAGGTGTTTACCTATGCTGCCAACTTGGTTCTTCTTCCAGGGGAGGGCAGTTGTGGGCAATCAGGCCAGTAGGGGAGGGCAGTTGGGGGTGATCAGGCTGGCAGGCAGAAGCAGTTAGGGGCAATCAGGCAGGCAGGCAGGTGAGCAGTTAGGAGCCAGTGGTCCCAGAATGTGAGAGGGATGTCCACAGGTATCAGGCCTAAACCATCAGTCAGACATCCCCTGAGGGGTCCCAGATTGGAGAGGGTGCAGGCCAGATTGAGGGATACCTCTCCCCCCATGTACTAATTTTGTGTACGAAGCCTCTAGTATCTCAATAAAAACATATTCTTAAAAAAAGAAGCTTGAATGAACTCCTGAGCATTTACCCCCCACCAATGCCTGCTGCAAGAACAATATTTCTAATTTCTCCTGCATTCTGTCTGTTCTAAACAGAACTCACATATATCACCTGCCTGCTTCCCACCACACCATGCCACAGACAGAACGGGAACTATTCTCCCATTTTAAGCTGAAAAACTAAGGCCCTGAAACACCCAGTGAATGACTTGATAGAGGCCACATGGCCAACAGCCAGGAGCCCAGGTTTGAGGTCCAATCCTGCACCTGGCAGCCAGGGGATGTCTGGGTCAATTATTCAATATTTTAAAGTGTCGGATTTGTCATCCAAAGTGTGGGATACTGATGTTGAACTCACAGGCATGTTGTGGCAAATGGTGTGTATAAAGCAGGCACTGTAATCATGTAGCAAGGGGTTTACGGACAAAGTCAAGATTATAGGTGCACACACCTCACCGGTGAAAAGCCCACAGAACTGACACACGTATCTAGGACGGTGGACGCATGGCGTTGCCACGAAGTAGAAGATGGTTTTCATAAATGCCAACAGGAGATACTGTGTGCGATGAGAGGGCACAGAACCCTGCAGGTAGACAAGCGAGGGTCCTGTGGGGGTCGCTGCAGCTCGGTCAGCGGATCCGCACCGGCACGGCCTGTCCCATGCGCCACACGAGCCGCCGGAGCCCACCTGCGGAGAGGGTGCCAGGCCTCTGTGGCTGCGGATACCAAGGATCTCTACAGACGGTTCCCCACAGCTGGTGAGTGACTCACTGACCCAGTGTGTGATGGTGTGGGTCCTTCACTAGAAGGTGCAGACCTTGGTGTGCTGAGGGGTCGGCAGTCCGCGGGATCATGGCCGTCCAGTGGTCAGCCAGGACTCGCACCGTCGCAATGTTCCTTTGCGATTTAGATGAAACCATCATGCTGGCCGGACGCCGCTGTCTGTGCTTTGCAGCTGTGGCCATGGAGATGTGGTGTGTATCAGGGGACGGGCCGGGGCGTGTCTGGAGGGTCAGTTCCGAGTCGCTCATGTAGACCGTGCCCTGGGATAAGCCCACGGCATTGGGACCACAGTTCCTGCGTGGGGGTTGCAGGTCCACGGGCGGCTTCTGCTCTGCAAGCCCACAGCCGAGGCTCTCCCACACCATCGGCTCCGCGGTGAGGCCAGACGGCGGCCTAAGGGTTCCGCCAACACACACAGAAATGCCTTTACTGATTGGGACTTGTAGTTGATGCAAAGCAATGAATTTAAAAACGTGTTTTTTAATTGATTTTAGAGAGGAAGGGAGAGGGAGAGAGAAACATTGAGGTGAGAAGCATCCGGTTGCCTCCCGCAGGTACTCCGGCTGGGGACCCAACCCGAAAGCTGGGCATGTGCCCTGGCAGGGAATCCAGCCAGTGACCATTTAATGCCCCGGACAACACGCAACCCGCCGAGCCTCCCGGCCAGGGCGAAGCGATACATTTTTGTATTATGTTTGTTTCTGGATTCTGAGAAGCTAAAGAGATGTTTTCATTGCAGACGGTTTCCCGTCACTGTGGCAGAGACGATGGTGTGTGACGGATCCTGGGGGCACACGTGACTGGCCAGCTCACACTGACCAGTGCGTCCTCGGCCTTGGGGTGTGCGGGTTCTGTGGCTGCTGGAGGGAGCGTCCACACACCCAGCGGCGTAGACACCACTGTTTATAGTGGGCAGCGCTGTCCTTTAGCCCAGGTGTCGGTGGGGCTGGCTCCCCTGGAGACTGGGGGGCGGAGGGCCTAGGCCCTGGCTTCCAGGTGCTGCCCGGCCTTCTGGGCCCTGTGGCTTCTCCTCGCAGCGCGTCTGCCTCCCTCGTGCATGGTCACCGGGGTAATCCAGGATGACTCTCTCCTGTGAGGGCATGTGGAATGCGAGCCTTTGCCACATCAGGTAATGTAGTCACTATTCTAAGGGTTGGGACGAGGGCACCTCGAAGGCCATTGTTTTGCCGCCACACCCAGCAAAATGACACAGCGCCGC